CATGCTGGAACTACCCACCAAAGAACCTGAAATCCCCTCCCTTAAGGAATGGATGGATAACTTACAAGCCATGTGGCCAGTGGTAAGATTATCTTTACAGGAAGCTAGAGCAGTTTTCAAAGCTCAAGCAGACAAGTGACCCTAAACCTTTCAAGATTGGGGACCGTGTATATTTGTCCACAAAATTCTTAAAATCATTACAACCCTCTAAGAAATTAGGACCAAAATTCATTGGCCTATTCCCCATCTCCGGAATTATTAACCCCGTGACGATAGAGCTTCAACTTCTAAAAACACTAAGCAGATTTATCCAGTATTTCACTGTAGCTTGCTCAAACCAGAGATCACTTCAAACCTCAACCCCTCCCCCTTTTCCACACCTCCACCCCCCATCATGGTACATGGGGAACAACATTTTTAAATTAAAGATATCCTTGATTCACTCACTCACCATGGATCTACACAATATTTAGTAGCTTGGAAACACCTTCCTTCCTCAGAAAATGAGTGGGTAGCCAAATGACACTTAAAAGCACCCACATTGCTACGAAAGTTCCACTTAAAATATCCTGATAAACCATCCTGAATTGCAAATGTAATGCATGATTTTTGTTTTTCCAGGTAGATCTATCTGTTTTTTAAGGAGGGCAGGATGTCAGATCCGTGTAGCTGTCATTTCTTCAGAGGAAGAAGAAAAGGAGGGGGGGGGGGGGGAGACTGATAAAGAAATCCTTTCTTGGTGTAACCTGAATATATTTAATCTTATATCGAATTTGTATAATCTACACATGATACAATGGAGGGAGGAAACCCAGATGGCTAGAACCTATCACCTCTGAGAGGCACAGCCAGGAGATGAGAAGACCATAAAAAGTTAAACAGTTAGCCACCAACCAATTGGCTAGCTGCCAATGCAGCAGCCATAAGCCATAAACTTGGTGGTGGGGTTTGGGGGAGGGGCTGCAAGTCAAATACTTTTTAGAAGGAAGGGGAGAGGGTAAGTAAGTAATGGAAGGGAAGAGCGAGGGGTTATTATGCTGGCTTCATCCAAAGGGGAGAGAAAGAAAAGAAAGAAAAAAGAAACAAAAAAAGGACGTTGTTTTAAGAATTTTTCCTTTTTCTGCATAATTGTGTGCATGCAAACACAAATAATTATTTTTAAAAAGCATGCCAAATTTGCAATATCAATTTGCCTAACTTTGAATTTCTTTCTTAGAACAGTTTGTTTGATCTTTGTCTGTTTTCCTTCTCTGGATGTTCAATGTGCCAGTTTTGAATTAAGGCAAGATAGGATTTGTCCTTCAAATTGGCAGTGTATTGCCTATTGTAGCAGTTTGAGTCATTAGCATGACCAGCACTTTTATTGGCTAGGATCCAAAGAAGTACACAATCAGTTTGTGCATTCAAAAGACTTTTGAATTAGACTTTTTCAAACAATCACCTTCCTTCCTCCACTGTCACATGACGTACTTCTTTTAGAAGAGATAATCTTTTACTGCATGTGTGACGCTTTGTAGCTTTGTATTTTGTAGGAGAAAAACATGACTGGGTCTCTTTGTCCTGCACTCTTAAGATTTCAAATGTGAAACATGCATTGGCAACTAAACCAATTCCAGTAGTGTTTAATGAAATCCAAAGAGTGGCAAAAATAACTATGGCTCTTTTAAGTGTCTCTTTATCACAATTCAAAGGTCTCAATAAAAATGGCTTGTAACCAAAGTAAGAAAAATAAATATGGCTCACCAAAGCCTCCCACTAGGCTGGCATCTAGCTTCTACTGTATGTAACTAGTTTGGAATGTCTACCTAATCCAATCTAGGGGGAAAGAAACACTGTTCTTTGCTTTTGATTTTGCATCCCTATTCAGGTTGCACAAATGGCATTTATGCTAACATGTTAATTAAAAATGAACCTTGAATCCATTAACATAGATATAATAAAATTATTTAGAGATAAGTTATCATTTTATTTGTAGCATATATACTTTCAGCCTGGGATTACTTGTTACTATCTGAAAGAACTTTGAACATATTTAAGGTATATCTTAATATAGTTTGTGCCAGAAAAGATATAACCTACTTGACTGATATTGCTAAGTGTTACAAAGTAAAAAATACAGAGCCCAGAAATTACTTGCTAAATAACACAATGACTAATCAACATATCTATAGCTATAATCATTTCAAGGAAAAAAGTCACTAAATGGATATAGGACTTGTGTAATTCAACAGTACATTTTGTGGGGGCTTTATGCTCTCTGAACTTCAGTAGGACAACATGTGGCATCTGCCCTTTATTTATATACTGGCTTGCCCTGCCAGTGCTGATGTTGTGGGGGATTCCATGGTAGTTCTTCTATTAGAGTATTGTAAGCCCTGCTTATCTGGGTGTAGGCTACTGGAAAGGATGAATTCTGGTCTTTTTGTTTCCTTTATTGCTTTTTTATATGCTGTTTATTTCTATGTATTGTTATTGGCTGATGAGTCTGAATTCCAAGATACCAAAAAGTCCCTAGCATTTTTGGATTTACATAGCTTGGTCTAGAATGCTCATGGTTTCTCAGTTGAAACTATAGTTAATTCTGATGTGTGCTATGAAATTAAAGAGTTTTTATTATGTCTTCTGACTGCTGGTTGGTGTGCTCAATTAGACTTCTGGCTGTTTGTCTTACAAATGATCTGTTACAGTTATTACGCTACATGTTATAGATGACTCTGTGAATGTGTATTTCACTCAAACACATAAAACACTACAGATGTCTAACTGAAACATGGACATGAAATATTCCCTTTAGGAAAGGAATAAACTTACCTCTTTTAAGTTTCACACTGTGAATGATTGTTACTGTGTATACATTTTAAATTCATCTAAATGGATTTGCTTTGTTATTTTAAAACTTTTTGGTCATATTAGCTCCTAAAACCATCCTGCTCTGGGTATAAATAAAGAAAAAAATGCATAAGTGTTGTTTTCCTGTTTAGCAGGCTATAGTAAAACCTTGATTTCTTTGGTATAAAAGGAGGAGCAATGAAGGATAATATTAACAGTGAAAACTTTGTAAGAACAAGGGGTGAAATGAACAATTATGTGCACACGAACATCACATCAATTGCCTTGAAGAAAAGAATATCTTAAAGAAAATCTTTGTGTTTGATGAGTTAATGTCCTTTATAGAACTATGATGAGCCCTATAGCCACTGTGCTTTCATTAATCAAAGAATATCCTACAATAGTACAACTTGCATCTGAGTTCCCCTTCTTGGTTACAAAAGTTATTAAGTATACATAACATTAAGATCAAATCAAGTACGTTGATGGAACCAACATAATACAATCAAGCCAGTAACTCAAAAACAAAAATGCTTAAGTAATTTAATTTTGCTTGGCACTAGTCAGTATAATCCAGAATTATAGTATATCTAAGAAGACTCCATATATAAAACTGGCATTTCTTAGAATGAAAGATCTGTCGACTGCATTTTTCCAATCGGATCATGATCTTGAAAACTGCTGTTAGGTAGTTAGCCTCCATCAGAGGCCCAGATGAATACTTGAACTATGGGGCAGCTATCCAGATCTATGAGCCAGTCACTCTGTCTCTTTACTCCAGGAACTGGTGCATGATGACAAAACACTGAATACCAAGCAAGGATTGTTGCGATATGACACATCAGTAGGAAGTCACGTACACAGACAACCC